AAATAGGAACTTCTGTAAAGAAAGTAAAAGGGCTATTCATTTTATGAGGCAATCTCCACTTAGGATGAAAAAAATTCAAAGAGAGTTGTGAAGATGAGAAAATTTCAAGTAAGCAATTGTTGTCTCTAGATGTCTCTACTAGGTGAAACTCCACCTATTTAATGTTAGAGACAGCTTAAAAGTTTGAGGTTGTCTTTAGGAGGTTTGAGGATAAGGACCCTTATTTTAGGATTGATCTTGAAAGTGGGAAGGGAGTGCCTAATGTTGAAGATTAGACAAATGTAAGAAAGATGATAATGTTTCTAAGTCATTTCTATGAGTTGACTTTATGTGTTTCTAGTTCTTCATTTATCACATTCAATGAATTTTTTCATGAAATTTATATGTTATTCCACCTTTTGGAAGAGTGGAGAAAATGTGATGATTTGGAGTTTTCTTCAATGGTTTATAAAATGAAAGAAAAATTTGATAAGTATTGAGGAGATCCTTCAAAAATTAATAAATTGATGTTTGTGACTGCTATTCTTGATCCTCGGTATAAGCTTGAGTGGGTACAATATTCACTTTGTAAGATGTATTTTAGTGAGGTTGAAGGGCAAGTTGGAGGGCAATTGAATGATTTGTTCATTTCTTTATATGATGAATACAAAGAGCATGTCTCCCTTAAAGAAAGTTGAAAAGGAGCAATTATTTAATTGCTATCAATCTGATGAAGATGATGACCCAACTGTGAAAGTTAAAAAAATTCTTGAATATGAAAAGAAAAAATTCTGATTGAAAGGCTTAGTGGAAGAACTAGTATGACAAAGGTTAACAAGTATTTGGCTGAAAAAATTGAGATGGATAAGGAAGATTTTAATATTTTAAATTAGTGGAAGTTGAATGGGCCTAGATTTCCCATTCTCTCTCAATTGGCAAGGGATGTTTTGGCTGTTCCAATTTTCACTGTTGCTTTTGAGTCCACTTTCAACACTGGAAGACGTGTTCTAGATTCATTTAGGAGCTCTTTAACTCCTAAAGTTGCGCAATCTCTTGTTTGTGCTCAAGATTGGCTTCACTACTTGCTTTCGATTATAGTAGAAGAGAAGATAGATGATGCACAAAAGATTGAGAGAGGTAATTTGTTATGTGTTATATTATTTTAAATTTAATGTTGAGTTATTGGTTAAATGATATTAATATTGAATACTTTATTTATGTTTAGATCTTCAAAAAATTGCTATAGAATCAAATGTGGATGTACTGTAACTGTGAGCTTTTGTTCTTAATAACTTGAGGTAATTATTTTATATGTTAGCTTTTTGCTATAAGTTTGATACTAAATTCATTAATAATTCTTGGCTTCTTATATGATTTTTACTAGTGTAATGTAGTTTGCAAGATGCTAGTATGGTGGTGCTCCATTTATGAAGGCTACATGTTTTATTTTGTTTTACTAATCTGAATATTTGATTATTGTAATGGTTTCTATGGATAATGGCATTGTGGCTATTTAAACTTTAAGGCTGACTAGATTATGGCACTATGCTGTTGCTGTTTAATTTTAATATTGTCACTAACTTAGTTCTAATGAATCTATTACTCTTGAGGTAAGAATCTTTCTCCTAATTGTTTCCTTTCCATTGGTTTTGTAATCTTTGTATTTCCATGTGAGCTAAAATATGACTGGTTGTAATTTTGTAATCTTTGCAAGCATTTCACTGGTTGTCTTAATATTTAGAAAATAAGTATCCCTACCCTTATGAGTATTGAATTTTATATAAATACCAAATGCAATGATAGCTAATGATTTATTGAGCTGTACTTTTAATTCTTCGTTTAGCTAGTAAATGTGTTACTGCAATAACAGAAAATATGCATAGTTTATTGCTTTAACAACAAATACGGCTATGACAGTGTGCTAGATTATGGGGCTTTGAGATTATGGGGCTTTGAGTAGATTATAGCACCATTATATGATGATCCAAGGCTGTTTATTTATAGGCTTTATGTCATATAAGTATAATTGAAATGGGCTCCTATTGAAAAAAAATGAATAGGAAAAAAAAAGCTCAATTTTGCAATTTTTTTGTTTTAATATTTTAAAAAAATGGGTCCAATTTCAAGTAGCCCAATATAAAACTAAAAATGAATTAACCAACCAAATCGAATTGTCAAATTTTGGTTCGATCCTTGTTCGGTTTGAATAAGTTTGTTCGGTTTACATTTTTAGTGTGGTTCGGTTGATCGATTTTGCATATTTTGGCACTGAACCAAACTGACTGATGCTCACCCCTAAGTATAGATTTGGCTATGGTAGTTCTCAATATTTTCATAATCAATTGGATCTTGAACTAGAAAGGTTATCGATTCATAGTTTGCATAGTCCAATTGAGTTGGATTAATGATTGAACTGGTGACGTAATAATTAAATAATTTATATATGTATATAATGAATTAAGTATAAGAAATAAATACAATAATCCTACTTAACTTAAAAATAAAATCAAATATTTAAGTTTATTATGACTTAACAAGTTGCATGATGTAACATAATATCAAATGATTAAAAAAATTGATCATTTTTAAAAAAAGTTGATAAAAAAAAAAAATTAATATTTTTTGAATAGTCTGATTTTTAAAAAATGGATTCAATTTTTGGTCTGACCACTGGTCTAAAGCGACCCAACTAGGCCTAACCCCAAAAATGAGTTTTTATGCTGATTAAGCTAAAATTCAGATTGAAGACGGTCCGATCATTTGATTCTATACTATTTCTTAATCATTGGTAATTCTTCAAGCAAGAGATATGGTTTTGCTTTTCCAACCAACTAATTTATGATGCAATCTATCTAGGATGTAATTATAAGTTCTAGCAGTCACTCTTCTTGTAATCAAAGGCACCCCAAGATACCTGTCAAGGGATTCAATATGGTTGAAGCCCTATTTATTGCAAATAGCATTACAAGATGCATCATCAACATTCCTAAAGAAGTAAAGTTGTGTTTTAATTTGGCTTGCTACTTGTACTGAAGAGAGACAAGATTGATACTTGTATTGAGGGCATGCTGATACATACCATAATTAAATTCACTAGCAACTCTATAATACCAACATCTCTCAAAATATCTTGGATAAAATTTCATTATAGCTTGTCAAAAGCTTTCTACAGATACACTTTAAAAAAATTTGGACCATCTTTTTATTTGTGCATGTCATACTTATACAAGGTCATGCTAATTTTCTCTATATCTTTTCAATTTTGGCTAAAGTATACATTTAGTTATGTAACTTTACACAATATTTTATTTTAATCCCTTAACTTATAAAGTATCTTTTTAGTCTTTTAAACCTAACACTGTTAGTTTTATTTTCAAAAATTTCTACATTAAACTTTTAAATATTAACAAGATATTTCAAATGTTGACATATTAAGTATAATTTTTTTTAAAATAATAATGATTGATACAAAAATAATAATTATTTGAAACTAAATGTTAGAGTTAAAGGACTAAAAAAATATTTTATAAAATTAAAAAATTAAATTCAAACTTTATATGAAGTTAAAAGATTAAAAGTATACTTTAACATTTAATTTTATTGGATGTCCTCGGAGTGACTAAATAAATAAAAGACTTTATTTTTAGATTATGTGGTGAATTAACTCGATTGAGAGCATATTTGGATTAATTTTCAACCTCAGTTCGAATGGGCCAAACTGAGGTTAGGGTATAAAAAACTCAAAAAATTGTTTGGATGAGCAAAAATTTTCAACTTATATTGGGGGTGTAAATGAGCATTTTTGGGGAAGCTATCAGACTTGGTTTTTTATCACGTTGGGTGTTGGCGTTGATTTATTAAGAAAGTATTAAATTTTTATGCCTTTTCTCTCTTCTCATCTATCTTCCCTTGAGCTCCAGCTCTGCTTCACCTTCCTTGTGTGCGTGGTCCTTTCTTGCTCCCATGACTTCCCTTGTTTGCATTGCTCACAAGTGGCTACACCTTCGTCTGTTGATCTCCACTGTCTTGTTCTTAGTGACCTTTAGTCGATTTCCAACTCTCTGTCATCCCTTCTTGCATCTAGCATGTCCCTCCTCTAATGTGTGGTCCTCCTTGTCGCCTTTCGATCTCCTTGGCGTAGTTTCTCCACCTCTACCTTCACAAATGTGCTCGCTACCATCTAATTCCTCATTGTAAATCTAACTAGAGATTGTGCTCACCGTTGTTATCATTGTTTGATCTTCCATTGGCCAAACCAATGCTCATGGTGTTTTTGGCACTAATAGGGAAGGTATAAAGCATGGCAAAGCCGAGCTACATGGAGAAGACAAGATAAGCAGAGAAGAGAAGGAAAGTATTGTCGATAGCGAAAGTAGTGTCGATGAAAATGTTGCAGATGAGGTCAATGAAGAAGTTGGTGAGGTAGGGATCGACGTGTTGAGTAGTTTTGCAGAGCAATCCAATATTATAATTATAAATAATACTTGATACTTAATACTTCATTTTGTATATATATATTTTTTCTAAATTTAATTTAAAGAAGATCAAATTAGACCATTTATTAAATTTTAATTATATATAGACTATAATTTATCATTTTTTTTCATGATCTTTTTTAAAATTTTGATTTTTAAACAATTAATTTATTTTAGAAATTTTAAGTCTACCTTCTTTTAAAAAATATAATTTAAAGTTTACAATTTTTTTAAAAATATCAAATTAGTTATAATATAAATAATAAAATTTATACTTATTTTTATCATTATATATTTTAATTGACTTTTAAATCAAATCATTTAAATAATTTTTAATCTGTTCAACTAACCTTTTTTAAAAAAATTTAAATATAAATAATATTAAAGTTATAGATTTTTTTTTTTAACTTTAATTTGCCAGTTTCACTTGAATTTTAACTTTAAATATAAATTTTTTAATCCAAATACATAATAAAGCTAATTGGTCGCTTACGCGTTACGCAGTCATGGGACGTGGGCAAAACCGCAAGAGCGTGCGAAAAAACATCGACGTCAGATTTCTTTTTTTGGCCAAGGTTCGCTTATAATTAATTAATTATCCGTTTTCAGAAAACGAAGCCGCCGTTCAACGTGATCGATGTGGCTTGCTCCCGCTATTCGGCAACCGTCGGCTCAGGTACCGGCGATCCTCACTGCGTCTCCAAATTCAAAGCTTCTTGCCTTTTCTTTCAGTAAAACCAAACCATATTGTGTCAATTTTCCCTCTCGGCTTCGCAAGCTCAAAGTTTCATCGGCGAAGGATCAGCTCCCGGAATCACAGACTGGTTGCCAAGGTCCTACACTGCTTGCCACTACTCAAACAAGAATTTATACGAATATTCTCTCAGTGAGTTTGACTTATAGATGTTTCAAATGAAGGAAAACTTTCTACTCAAGAAAAGGGTGAGGAGAAATCTGATTTGGAATGGTTCCCTGCTTTTCGTCATGTTCTGGTTGCTTCAATATCGAATTTTGCATTTGGATATCATATTGGGTCAGTTTTTTTTTCCTTCCTGCATTTATACGCTCTCTTGTTAATTTGTGGTAGAAGGAAATATTTCGAACTTCCTACAGAAGTGTATTTTAATGAGATCTCAATGACGCCGTATTCAATCGTAGTGCTGAAATGAAGTAGAAATTGAGAAAAAAAAATTCGATTTTAATGGTTCCTGGTGTTTTGATTGAATTCCATGGAAATACTATTACTGCAGTGTGGGCCTATGGTTTAGGAGTCAAGTGAAAACTTATGAATTATTTTATCATAATATTGAGCATTCCCAACTCACAAGGAAATCTCTTTGGTTTTGAAGTGCTATGCGGATCATAGTTCGTGTTGAAACTTACCTTCAATCAAAAGACGGGAGGAGAATCGAACATTGAATGATTACAAGGGAATAGGAAAGAAAATCCTTGATAATGAGCCTTAAATAAACGTGCGATGGCTATTATACCCTTCTTGTCATTGTTCAACTCTATACCTCTCTTTTTACTATTTTTCTAGAGGGGACAAGAAGATCATTTCCATTCACAGCCTCATGTTCTTTTCGTTTTCATACTTAACATTACGTATCAAACATAGCCATTATCAACTATCAAGTGACGACTCGGGAAAAGTTTTTTATTATCTTTCATTTATTGTAATGCTTGATTTACATAGTGATTGCATTTAGGAATGTAGGTTTGGTATAACCTTGAATGTTGAATCATGGGAATCTTAATTCATACTAGAGTAATAGACTTAGTTTAGTAATAGTGCTTTAATTAGGTTATGATTTTGACTTTTAATTTAATTGGTTTGTTTGTGTTGCCTATATAAAGGATACAACCAAAATTATTATTTTACCTCTTACTATTTAATGTGAATATAGAAACTTGAGTATATTTCTCATTCTTTTCCTTTATTTTCCTTCCCATTCTGCATAAACATTCCCTTTATTTTGTAAACTCAAAACCCAGAGTGATGATATTTTGCTTAAAGCAACTTTATGTGCTTACTTGATGAATATTGACTGACAAAAGAAAACCAAATATTTCTATTCTTTTATGTTGAAAATAGATGCACAACTTCATCAGTTACTGAAAAGTTGGTGGTATAAGGGTTTTTAATATTCTGGCCTCTTCAAACTTTTGTAATTGGAATGCATATCTTGCAGAGTCATGAATGGTCCTATTGTCTCCATTGCACGGGAACTTGGTTTTGAGGGAAACTCAATCCTTGAGGGACTTGTGGTTAGCATATTTATTGCTGGTGCTTTTATTGGGAGCATTAGCAGTGGCTCTCTGGTAGATAAACTTGGTTGTTGCCGCACATTTCAGATTGATGCAATACCCTTAATTCTTGGAGCAATATTAAGGTAATATACATCATTTGTGGAATTTATGTTAATAGCGTACTTTTATCCAATGAACATTGAAATTGTTGAAGTCAATGTGACGCTGTACTCATCCCACACTCAGTTGTGCTAATCTAATTATTTTGTGCTTGGCTGAGGGGTGCCAGAATATTGGCAAAGATATATCTTGTAATTTGCTATTTGCGATATGCAAACTCTAGGTGCCAGAAATGTTAATGATGTAGGACCATTGCTTGTCTATCCTTTTATGTTCATTTTCTTATTTTGTATTTTTTTCCTTGAATAGTCAAACCTATATTGCCTTCAGACTGTAAGCACTTCCTTGGAAGGATATATATGACCTTACCTCTTCTAATCTGTGACAGCGCAAATGCACACTCCTTGGATGAGATACTGTGGGGAAGATTTCTTGTTGGTCTAGGTATTGGTGTCAATACAGTTCTTGTTCCGATATATATATCTGAGGTACTTGTTGATCTCAACTTTAGCTTTATACGTTTTATATTTCAAATTTCCTGACTATTATATTTGTACTTCTGTGCCTTACATGGAGTTTATGTTATTTTTTTAAATCTGCAGAGCTTATTCAGTAACTTGAATGGCTAGTTTCATCTCATAATTTTTAATATAGTGCTATCATATTTCAAAGCAAATAGAAAGAAAGTGGAATTACACTGTCATACTTCCAACAGAATTAGTTGGAACATGATAAAATTGCTCAATTTTTTATGTGATATAGGGGAAGGAGATTTCAAAACGGCAATTTTATGTTCTTCTCACTCTTTTTTTCCTTTTTTTTTTTGCCATTTTGGTATGTGCTGTAGGTTGCTCCAACAAATTATAGGGGTGCATTAGGGTCCTTATGTCAAATTGGCACATGTCTTGGCATTATCACTTCACTATCTCTAGGAATCCCTTCTGAAACCGATCCACACTGGTGAGACTCTTTTTGTTTGGACTCTTGCAGGTTCATTGAACTTAAATTTTGTTTTGAGTGAGATCGATTGAAAGGGTTTTTTTCGGAGGAAAAAAACTTTTGAATGTTGGAAAACAAGAATGAATAAAATTTACTAAATTTCCTTAATCCTTAACTTGTCACTTGAAGCTGTCCGTTAATGGAATAAAATATTATTTGAGAGAAATTCAGTCTTATGTGCCTGTTATCGCCTGTAATTATTCTTGACACTTTTTCCTTGTCATATGATGGTATGCAAGGATTCTTGGGTTTATATTTATTTACTTGAAGTATTTTGTATTTGTTTTGTGTGCGTGCATGTGTGTCTCAGTGTGTGTGTTTACTTGAAGAATTCTTGGGTTTAGTTGATAATTGCTTTATTGTATTTTGTTATGAGCACATCTTGGAAATGGCATGATAGATTGTGAAATGATTCCCACATCAAATTTACAAGTAATTATTGTATAGTTCACCAAAGTAGCTTGCTTGGCTTTTACATTCAAAGCATATTTGGTAATTGGTATTGGAGTTTAGTAAATAGATATTAATATGTGATAGCTGTTAGAAGTCAGAGCAGCAGTAGTCTAGCTGTCGTAGTTGTGAGTCAGTTGTGCTGCTGTAATAAATTACTTAGGTATACTTCAGGCTATACAAGCTTGATTGCATTATAAATATGGTAGCCAAAGCTACAATAGGTATGCTATTACCACTATTTTTGAAGAACGGAAGGCTATTTTCCAGATAATACTTTTTGGGAACTAACAAATTGCATTGTTCAGGTGGAGGACTATTCTTTATATTGCAAGCATCCCTGGTCTTTTTGTTGCACTTGGTATGCAGTTTGCTGTTGATAGTCCACGCTGGCTATGCAAGGTAAAATCTTGTTATTTCCCTGCCCAACAATCTGTAAACTTTTCCACTCCTTAGCAGCCTCTATATTTCTGTTCAGGCTGGGAGGGTAGAGGATGCTAAAACAGTTGTGCGTGAACTTTGGGGAGCATCTGAAGTTGAGAAAGCAATTGAAGATTTTCAGTCAGTCAGCAAGAGTGATGGTAGTGACTTGGACAGCAGCTGGTCAGAGATCCTTGAGGAGCCACATTCTAGAGGTCGTGTCAAGGTGGTTTTAGCTGTTACTTTTTGATAGGATTTTATGCATGGAAAACTGGAAAAATATAATCATGTTGAAATAGCGATGCATCTTTTATTAAGTTTTTGAAATTCCCTTGGTTTCATGAAATAGTCCTGAGTTTTGTAAAAGAAGTACAGGTTTTTAAGCATTACATGACGTCTACTAGTGTTTTGTGGAATTGCAGTTTCATTCATTGGAGGTGCCCTTTTTGTACTTCAGCAGTTTTCTGGCATAAATGGAGTTCTCTATTTTTCATCATTGACCTTTCAAGATGTTGGAGTTCGTAGCAGTGCTTTAGCAAGCTTGTTTGTTGGACTCACCAACTTCGCAGGTTTGGCAGTCTGGACAGCATTTTTTTTTTATTCCATCTCAAAATATATTTATTCTTGGAATCATATTTCGGTTTCTGGGAACTTTTTTTTTTTTTTCAGGTGCACTTTGTTCTTTATACTTAATTGATAGGCAAGGGAGACTGAAACTTCTAATTGGAAGCTACTTAGGAATGGTGAGTTAGTATTAATAAAATGTTCATAACTTTTGTTATTAATAAAATGTTCGTAACCTTTGTCTATAATGTGAACAAGTAAGTGCATCCACGCATACACTCATGCAATCCAAGGGAAGGGATTGATGCTATATCTTTGTAAATTTTTTTCTCTGTCCCTACTTTCTCCCTTTCCTGATGTTTGAGACATCTTGACACTGGCTGCAGTTTCATTAAGATACAAGACTTTTTATTTTAACTGATTTATGTTTTTATTACTTACCAAACTAATCTAGATTTCTTTTTCCTGCAGGCAATTTCAATGTTTCTTGCGGTCTATGCTGTTAGCTTTCCATTAGATGAACAACTCAGCAACAACTTATCTATACTAGGAACTGTCATGTGAGCAATTACTTGCTACTAATAAAATTATAGTGAAAATATTATTTACAATGAACAATGTGGTTTTTCTCTTCTCTAGTAATAAAATTTAGGTGACTGTAGTGTATGAATTGCTGTGGCCTTTCCCTCAAGGGACTTCTTCATTGTGGTTGTGGCATTGGGTGTTCAATAGTAAGTATGGTTTAAATCATAGGAGCCCATGGAATTTATGCCTGTGTTCTGATTATATTTATTTTCACAGCCTTTTGGTTTTTTAAGATTGGGGGTGAATCTTGAGATTCTGGGAGGATTTTTTTTTTTTTTTTGGGTGGGGGGCTGATATGTTTAAGGAGGTTTATTCTACATTTCTGTCTTTCTTTTCTTATTTTGGAGACAATGGTTACTATTTTTTTTCTGAGGTGGCAAATAGTACTTCCTCATGCTGATGAACATTACTCTTGTTTTCTTCTTTTTATTCTTGTGCTCATACTTCATATTGTGTGTGTGTGTGTGTGTGTGTTTTTTTTTTTTTTTTTATGAAGGTTCTCTAGTGTGCACATTCCTTATGCAGGCGTATCATTTGGAATTGAATAACCTGCTGTTTGTTATGGTTTGTTATACCGACGAGATTGTGAGGTGGTAATTCATCAGAATAATTAATTACTATCGGCTGTAGGCGTAGTGCTTGTGTCCCTAGAGGATAGCATACAGATGTTCTGGGATAAATAAAATTACACACATACAGACAAACAAAGATGATCTGGGATATTTATTTGATTTTTTCTGAACAGCTGGCGCATGGACGATGTATTTTTCTTATATACAATTATAGGTACATTTTCTCCTTTGCAATTGGAGCTGGTCCGGTAACTGGTATCATCATCCCAGAGCTTAGCAGCACCAGGAAACGTGGAAAGATCATGGGGTTCAGTTTTTCAACCCATTGGGTAGGTGTTATTCTAGTAGAACATTTTATTTCTGCGCGCTTTTTATCTCGTGAATTTGGATCCTCTCAATTGAAGGATCTTGTAAATTTCACAACTGGCCCTGAATGGCTCAGATTGTTCAATTGAACAATTTACAAGACCTCTCAATAGAGGATCCAAGTACGGAGAACTCAACTTTACTAATAAATACCTCCAGGTTTGCAATTTTGTGGTGGGACTATTCTTTCTTGAGTTGGTGGAGAAATTTGGAGTTGCCCCAGTATATGCAAGCTTTGGAGCAGTTTCCCTGCTAGCAGCAGCATTTGCCAACTACTTCGTAGTAGAAACCAAAGGGCGTTCTTTGGAAGAAATTGAACGGTCCCTTTACCCAAAACCTTGAACCAAGTGATATTAAATTGATGTGTTAATCCAGTGGAGAAGAAAGGCCTTTTTCCACCTCCGCAACCTTTGCAGATTCTACCACGAGTCACTGTATATTCCTAATCTTCCGCAGTTCGTCTGTTGTACAAACATTTTCCTTTATAGTATGAATGATGTTCCTTGAACTTGTGTCCATTACTTTTGGTCAAGGAAGGGAAAAAAGAAAAACAACAAAGAAAGAACTCGTGTCTATTATACAGCATTGTGATTGTGATAGAGCCTGTTATTTTTTTAAGACATACCAGAGGAAGTTAAAGGGGATGAATGACTCTAATAGAAATATTTTGATTGGTCCAAATGCTTATCCTTCGGTCCCTAGGCATAAGGAACCGTAACTTGTGATTTTGAGTTATGAGAAGGATCTTTTGGGTAGTATAGGCTACGGTGAAAGCCATGCTGAGAGTTATATTAGTCTTTTGCTTGTGTTGAAGGGGGTTATGTCTTTTGTGAAAGATTTGTGAGGAGAGACTAGCCTGTCGAACGTTAGAAAGAGTAGACCCTCTTATTTTGATGTTTGTAATCTGCAATGCTATTACTATTTTGATCATTCAAGGGAGATAGGATTTTGGTCTAAATTAGGGAAAGTCTTTGTAACTCTAATTTGGTTTCTCTCAGTTTATTAATATGAAAAAAAAACTCAACATTTTTCCCTCATTTATTGCTATTATTGTTCTCATTGCTATTTTTGTTGCGATACTAGTATGACCGCCATTAATTAGTACCATAGCAGTACGATTTTTGGGTAGTTTGAAGAGGAGTTATGGCAGAGGAAGTATAGTATTCTGAGTGAGAAGTACAAGAGTTAAAGGAAATAGTTAGGGCATTGAACAAGGATGTAAATGACATCAAAGAAACCTTGAGGAATATTAGTGAAACTTTGGCACAATTAGAGAAGAAGGTGGCAGGGCCATGTGAGGAAGAACAAGAAGGCACTTATCATGTAGAAACCTTTGAGAATAACCCAATGGGTGAAACAGAAGGGGGCAAGTTTTGGAAATTGGAACTACCTGCCTTCTCAGGTGAGGATCCTCTTGAGTGGCTTTTTAGAGTAGAACGGTATTTTTATGTAAACTTCATAGTTGAACATGAGAAGCTTGAAGTAGCAGTAGTATGTCTTGAAGGCTAAGTATTGAACAAGTATCAATGGCTTGATACACAAATTCTACTGAGTAACTGGTCATAGTTTAAAAGAGAGTTGTTGCGTTAATTTCACTCTGCCCAACTCAGTGATGAGTATGAATGATTATTTACAACCACACAAGAGAAATTAATACTCAAATTTGTGGAAGAATTTGAACTACTATCTGCGCCATTGAAGGAAGCTTCTGAGGATTGCTTGATTGGTGCGTTATGATTTAGACTACAAGTGGAGATTAGAGCTAAGCTAAAGTTAACAAAGACTACTACTCTACGAGAATTAATGGAAATGACAGTATGTATTGAAGAAAGAAATTGGATGCTGGAAGACTATAGAGATGCTAGGTTGACCAAAGTTTAGCGGACCTAGTTCAAACCTAAACTTGATTCGACACAGATCACTTATTTCCCACGCATGACTTATGTGATTGAGGAAGGAAAGAACATGAGTATGGTATCATCTTCTTACACGAACAGTGTGAAAAAAATGATGCAAGAACAGAAGCTTCAAAGATTGGGAGTAGTGCGTATTCAAGAACCATAACAAAGAGAAGAGGAAATTCTCGTCGACTTACTTAGAAATTGCAAGACATCAAGAGCTCAGGCTTTGCTTCAAATGTGGTGACAAATATAGGCCTACCTATCAGTGTAAAAACAAGAACCTTCAAGTGTTGATAATAGAGTTAAGGACCGATAAAGAAGGTGAGAAAGACGATACAACAATTGAAATTGAAGGTAGGTGTCTTGAAATTAATGAGGAAGGTAAGCAAATGGAATTATCTCTTAATACCATGACTAGATTTGGCGATAACCATACCATGAAAGTTAAGGGAAAGCTTGGAGACACACATATAGCCATTCTTATTGACAATGGTGCCATTCAAAATTTTATCATTGAAGATTTGCAGAGTAAGTTGAGTTTACCTTTTGATGAAATCTATGAATGCACTATTACAGTAGAGGATAGGTAAGCCATAAAAGGGAAGAGGCATTGTGAGGATCTTTGTTTAAGCATTCAAGGTCTTAATATAGTTCAAAACTTCTATCCTTTTAAGTTGAGTAGTGTCAATGTGGTGTTGGGAAATGGAGTGGTTGAAGTCTTTGGGTGATGTGAAGGTTAATTGGAGCCAGTTAATAATGAAAATTAGTAATAAGGACAAGAAAGTATGCTTGCAAAGGGACCCCTCTCTTACTCGTGCTCAAACTACATTTAGATCTTTGATTCATTTGGTAGGAAAGAAGGGGGATGGGTTCGTGATTGAATACAGAGGGATGACGAGTAGCAATGAGGATACAACAGTCTTAAGCCCAGAGATTTAGAAGTTTCTTGAAAAATTCCCTATAGTTTGCAAGGTTTTGGAAGGCGTACCCCTACCTCGAGCACAAGACCATGCTATCGTCATTAAGCTAGAGGAGCAATCATCAAATATTAGGCCTTATTGATACTCTCATTTGTAAAAGAATGAAATAGAAAACTTAGTGAAATATATGCCGAAGGTAGGAATTATTCAACCAAGCACTAGTCCTTACTCAAGCCCAATATTTTTAGTTAAGAAAAAAGATGGAAGCTGGAGGTTTTATGTTGACTTAGAGCCTACAATAAAATTATTGTTCCAAACAAGTTTTCTATTTCGGCTATTAATGATTTTGCATAAGGTCAGTACAAGTTTTCGATTTTGCACAGAGGCAAATTTAAATGCAACATGCCTCTTTGTGTTATGCGCTATGGTGGAGGGATATGTACGCCACGGCGCACGGCCAAAAATCTAATTTAATCAGTCCATCTCTACTTATGAAGAATAGAGAGGAAGAAAGGAGAAACACAAAGAACACATTAAAGGCTCTACTAGGGCACAACATTGATTCCTATTAGTGATGTTTTGAGACTCCCAAACACTCAAGGTAAATAGTTTATGCATCTATTTTTCCTTCTCTCCCTCATTTATAGAGATTTAAGTCAGAGTTTAAGTTGGAAGGTTAATTTTTAGTTTATAGGAGCTATAGATCCGAACCCATTGATTAAAATGGGAATATTAAGAGTTGTTTGTTATAGCTAAACCTTATATTACTGATTTTATTAAGAGTTAGTTGGGGTGAGTCATTGTTATGCGAAAATTATCATTAATATGGTTGTTAGGAGAGTTGAGGCTCATTAATGGTGGTTTAAAGATTCAATGGTAGTAATGTGAGTTAATGGGACCTAGTGAACTCATTGGATACGAATAGGTAGTGATTTATAAGATTGAAAGAATAGATATGTGGAGATTGATGTTGATAAACCCCTAAGAGTGGGATTATAATGATATCTTTGTTTTGTGATTGTAGTATGGTTTAATTTAGCACTATTCAAGCTTGTGTAAAGCTTTGAAAGTTAGTATTTTGAAGGGTAAATTTTTGACTTCTTAAAAGTTTAAAGTAACTAGGAAAACCTAATTTTATATAGTTGAATTTTAATTTGTTATTAGTTGAAAATGAGTTAATTTGAATCATGATTTATATTTTGAATTATATATGCAATTTTGGGCAATTAATGAACTTCTGAATGGTTTGATAAATGAAAACCTCTTACATGCCATCTAATTGTGATTTATGAGTTTATCTTGCCATGTTATTATGAGCGAAAATTGTGTTTTGTAACGTGGAGTATTTGGAGTAATTGAGTAAGAGTATGTGAATTATATGACATGATATGTTTGAGTTGAATGCATAATTATGTGAGTTGTGCATAGCATAATTATTGGCAGGAATTCGCCTAAAAAGATGAGTAGTTGGTTAAATTCACATGATATTGGCAGTGACTGTTAGAATTGAGAACTTGCCTTGGCACCAACTATTAGAATCAGGAGGTAGCCAGTGTCCTATATTTAATTTGGGATTGTCTTACTTATTCTATAAGGGATTTGAATCTAACTAGTCTCCATCGATTCATGAGAAGGCTAGATTAGGGGTACAACACCTTATGGTTATTGATATTAGGGAAAATTGGATTACATAAGTAAGTGAGAGTTAAGCTTGGCCCGATAGCTCCTCATAAGTACAAGACTAGGTTAGTTTGTGAAGGACATAGCCACTTGATAGTCACTGATTTCATGTCGAAAGTAACAAGAGGATATAGGGTTGGCATATAATCATGCATATAAATCTAGCCACATGACTGTTAGTATTGTGGTTCGGCATGTGTTAGGGGTACATGGTTGGTAGTTTTGCTATCCTATACTGTGCAGTGTGATTTAAAGTGAATATGTGTTTTTAGAGCTGGTCACATAGTTGTTAGTATTGTGAACTGTGGCCAAGTTTCTCATATGTGTTGTATTTATGTTGGCCTACTTACATTTGTTTATAATTAATATGCAACTATATTAATTAAGTAAAACTTAGTTATTGAGCGGTCATATTCACCTCTCAATTCTCTATTTTTAGGGCCTAACTCAACCGATTCAAGCTGGGAAAAACATACAAATGCTTAGGATTTGTAGAGTAATCTTTTTTGTATGCCTCTCCTTATTGTCTTATGTGTATGAATGTTAATACAATTGTTAATTGGATTCCACATGATTCATTTTCGTACTACTTGAATTATTATAGCATACAACTTATGTATTTTGTGTCTTGGGTTAGTGAGTTTTAGTTGTAAACCCGTGGATAAGACCAAAATACTTGTGCAAGTAAAAACATGTATATTTTGAATGATTTGAAATGAAAATGTTAGTTTTGTGCATGAATTTGTGCAAGTAAAAACATGTATATTTTGAATGATTTGAAATGAAAATGTTGGTTTTGTGCATGAATTTCCTCCCCCTTGTATTTTATAAAATTAGGGTTGAGTAGTGATTTTGAGATTTACATGTTTTTTTATTGCATATAGTGTGTTGCACGGGTTCGTTAGAGTCTATTGAGTGTGATCGGAGGATTGGTGTAGGCTTTTGGCACATGTGGTTGAGTTGGGACACTATGGTTGTAAAACTTTAATGAAAAAGTAGTAAAAATA